GATGAAGTTTGGTATGGTGATAGCTGGTTATCCGGGTTAACATATAGGATACTTTTTACTGCGGGAAAATATCTCATTTCTAAAAAAAAATACAAAACTGCAATGTAAGAGTATACTAATATATAAAACCTAAGGATTTAGTTTTTGGTCATGTGAACGCGGGCGGAGCCGCAGGCAATGCTAGTCTATCTATATTCTTATATATAATAAACCAACTGTTACTAAATTTTAATATAAATACTACACCTCATCAATCTATATTATGTATATGTATATAACAACAATGTAACTGGTCGCTGTCTGTGCATGGAAGATATTTGAGAAAAACTATTATTAGGGGTATTTATTAACGCAATAGAACACAAAACAATAATTTTTAGAATTTTTGTCTGTTTGTCTGTGCGTTTGTGCGCCGCTAATCTCAGAAACGGTTTGACCGATTTGGATGCGGTTTTCACTAATGTACTGTGGTAAGCTTCACTTAACATTTAGTATTAGTTTTATTTTAATCGGTTCATAAATAAAAAAGTTATGTCAAATTAAAGAATTACCTAGGGACGAACTGGAGCGAAGCGGGTGTAAGTCGCTTATACTAAATAAAAGAATATCGGTTAAAAAACAAAGGATAAAAAGGTACTAAACTATTTTCTCTTTGCCTATTTATATCTAAATATATATAATTCTTCTATACGTGTGTTTGTCACCTTACTCCTCCTTAAGGGCTGGATCGATTTGGATGAAATTTTGTGGTGTATATTTCAATGGGCTCCTGAATGGTTTGAAAACACAATTGGACCCGGTAGGTGGCGCTGCTGTTGGTGTGTTAGTGTTTGTTTTTTTAGTAGTTTGAACGCGGGCGATTATAGAATATATTATTTTACCATTCTTCTATTAACTTCTCTTTTAAATAACCTACTTTTAATATTATAGATTACAAACTTTGTATGTAAAATCAGGATAACTTCGATACTGGAATTAAAATGGCTTCTAGTAAATTCTTTGAGGTTATTGATACATATTGATAAAATAGAGCTGATCTAAGTTTCTTTAAGGTATTCAAATCTAAGTATCTAATTGAAAAAGTATTTTATTGTCCAACACAACAAATTTTAGGGTACAACAGTATCCATTATCACTGTTTATCCTTTTCATCCCATTTTTACAATACTTTCACATTAACGAGAAAGGTTTTTCCAAATTGGCTGACCTATTTCCAAATTAGCTTTGATAAATGGCAGATTAAATTTTAAAGCACCGGGTCCTTTGGAACAATATTCATTAGTGAATCACAAACAGTTATTTCCTTTTTGTTTATTTACTAGCAACTTACCCTTGCTTCGCTCGTTCCCAGGTGTTTTTTTTATTTATAACTTTTAATGCCCCACTGCTGGGGGTGGGCCTCCCTTCAATACGAGGAGGATCAGCCCATAATATATACATTTATAATACGTATGTATTTAAAGTTACATATGTGTGTAGTGTATCAACTATCTGGTATCCATAACAGAAGCCTCGTAGCTTACCATGGAACTAGATGGTACTGTGTGTTAATGCCCCAACATAGTCTACCACCTCATAAGGGGGACTTCACATGTCTTTCGAATATCTGCTAGGTTTTCTCAGACATACAGGCTTACTCACGATGTTTTTATTCACCGTAAGGCAAGTGGTAATAATGTTAGAAATGATTCGGATATCAATATCAGAAGTGCGAGACCCGGGATTTGAACCCGCTTCACTAGGTTTCCCAAGCGAGCGCGTTCCCACTGGGCTACCACTGCCTAATAATATTAAGTATACTATATTTATAACGTGTAGACTGCACCTATTTATGTACTGAATTTCATCCCAATTAATCCAGCCGTTTTAGAGAAAAACGTCAAACTTTCTGGGTTGGATTCGTCCATGTTTTTAGGGTTTTCTCGAAAATCCTAGTATTTCCAAAAATATTGGAATATGATATGAAATAAAGCTTTTCACTTCTTTCATTGAATTAAAAAAACTACTGGTAATTAAATATAAATATGTTGGGGCATTAAAACACATGACCATCTAGTCCCATGGTAAGCTTCGAGGCTTGTGTTATGGATACCAGACAGTTGATACTCTACACATATATAACTTTAAATACATACATGCTATAAATATAAACCTATGACTGGAGTACAAACATTCGTGCTCATCACACAAAAAAATGTCCCCAGCGGCACTCAAACCCGCGACCGCTGGCGCAGCGAGTAGGGTCATTACAAACTGAGCCAAACGTGTTGTGAATTAATTAACTACATCTCATGTTAGAAATATAATGTATGTATATATTATCTGTCATTCGCAATTATAATCGCAAATTTATTCTATTTCTTCCAAAACCATTTTATATGATCTCTGCTTTATAAGGAAATATGTAGAAAAGGGAGCTCTACCAGTATCTTTGGATCATATTATGAAATAAAATTTAGCTATATTAGGTAATTTTTTTATACGCGACAAAAAATCTGATCGATTGCTCTGGAGCTAAGAGATGCATATTCAAACTCACAGAATAATATAATAATTTAGTTTAAACTTAAAATTAATTTGTATGTATGTATGATTCAGCCTTTTTTGACATTCCACTGTTGGGCACGGGCTTTTCAAAGCATGCGGAATCAGGCCATGGTCCACCATGCTGGTTAAGTGTGGGTTGGCGGACTTCATCTCTTTCGAAAACTTGCTAAAATCTCTCATACAGTAAGTTTCCTCACGATGTTTTCTTTCACCTTTAAATTAATTTTCATTAATTCCCAAGTATCTTCCGGCGGAAGCAAACCGGAAGAGAAGTATGTTTACATAAAATAAAACACTCAATTTATGAAAAAATGATGAGATAAACCGGATGGCCTCTTCAGCGTCTGAAGTTCGAGGCAGCCTTATTTGATTTACACTTCGTTGAGGTATGAAGTCATTTCGAATGTGTTGAAGTATGAATGAGTAGTATAAATCTATATAATATTAGTAGCGACTCAGTCTATGCTCCGCTTGAGTTCGTCGCCGTGTTACGTTTTAACGTTTAGTATTGATTTCTCAGAGATGAGATATCTACCCGCAGTAAAAAGTATTCTATATGTTGACCAGCTGTGGATAATCAGCTATCACCATACCAAATTTCATCAAAATCTGTCCAGTGGTTTTCTCGTGATGCGGTCACAGACAGACAGACACACAGACAAAAATTCAAAAAACTATAGATTTGACCACTGTATCGATAATAATAACTATTTCAATAAGATTTTCCAAAAAATATTTAATGTACAGATTCGGCTTAGTTACAATTTTATTATATGTATAGACATAGATTAGCGGACCCGACAGAAGTTGTCCTGTGCAAACATACAAAGAAACTTCTTTACGTATATAAAAATAAAAAATCCTAGAACTCGACTTCAACGTCACCTACCGGATCCAAATATGTATCTAAACTATCCAGAGAATCATTCAATTACACACAATTTTTTTTACTAAAATCGGTCCAGCCGCTTAGGAGAAGTTCAGTGACATACACACAGAACAATTATACAGATAAATAAAATTGAAGTGTCTGTTTGTAATGTCAAAATAACATCTTTTTACTAAATACATATGAAACTTTGTACACTGTACAGTAATTATAAAAAAAACACTAATTTAAAATAAATGTCTTTCGCTCTATCTGTTTGTTCTGGCTAATACCTGAAATGGCTGGATTTTTTTTTCGCGGAACCCTAATACTTTTTCATAAATAAACGTAGCCTGAGTTACTCCTTATAACATAAGCTATCTGCCAGTGAAAGTCCTGTCAAAATCGGTCCAGCCGTTTTGGTGATTAGCCGGAACAAACAGACAGACAAAAAATTTAAAAAAATATATTTTATTTTAAGTACTGTAAATACTTTTATATGTATTTATTAAAAAGCTGTTACTTTGACATTACACATAGACACTTCCAGTTTATTTATCTGTATAGATAGACATTTCTATAAATTACTGAATGAACTATGATATATTTAAATGACAAGATAACATAATTTGAAATATTATGTTCATATTTTTCCCACAATAAAATTACAAATTTCAATATTTTTATATATTACTAGCAGAATCCGCGGCTTCGCTTGCGCTAAAACTACAAAAAATCTCTAAAAAGATAGTTTCATACTAATTTTCATCCCCTATTTTCTCCCCTTATAGGATGAATTTTGAAAAATGCTAAAACACATATTTAATTAATTTTATTGAAAAGCAATAATACCAAGTTTCAACTAATTCTGATCTTAAATATTTTTTTGGATTGTATTATAACGTGTTTTCCCGTGGGGTTTAGATAATCTCCCGCGGTAAAAATGGCCTATGTCACTCTCCAGCCCTCCAACTATCTCCACACAAAAAATCACGCCAATCCGTCACTCCGTTCTGACGTGAAAGGAAGGACAAACAAACAAACAAACAAACAAACAAACACACTTTCACATTCATAATATTAGTATGGACTAGCGACTTACCCTCGCTTCGAAGCGATGGATATAGGGATGGGAATGAATGTTTTAGAAATTCAAAGAGGTGTATACATACAAAACAAAAGTCTTCCACTTTTGAGGCTGAAACATTCGCAGGCGTGACCAGAACAAATCACCAAAGTTTCATCATAATCTGATGAATGGTTTAGAAACTAACATACAAAGAAACGTTCATTTTTATTTATATGTATTCACTATTCAGCACTTTTTAATTCCTCCACGACTGAACACGCCGGCGTGTCAGTTAACAATAGATTTCTTAGAATTTTAATTAATTTCTTAGAAATTTACCTGGAGTTGTTAACGTTCCACTGCTGGAGGTGTGCCTCCCTTCAGAACGACCCCTCATTCTGAAAGGAGGCCCAGCCCCAGGGAACTTTGGTCCCCCGATCAAAGTCCACCACACTGGCCAAGTGCAGGTTGCGCGGGTAGTGCGGGTTTATTTATATAGATTTCATTTATTTTCAGGCTCATCGTCAAGCGAGGAAAGCAGTCATGAAGAGTTAGCGATTTTGAAGACTTTACTGCATTTTCCAGAAGAAATCGCCTTACGCCTCACAGACACCGAATATAAACTTTTTTACCAAGTATGTAATTTTTTTTATCATTTCCTATATTTTTCTTGTATTTTGTAAGATTCTTAACAAATATGGCTGACAACTGTTTGTATTTTGCGGTATATTAATATTTTTTACTTTCATAATTATACTAGCAGAACCCGCGGCTTTGCTCGCGCTAGTACTACAAAAAAAACTCTTTGCAATAATATATGGAAGTCTGCCCGATTTGTTGACATTTATGATTACTGTTCCGTTGTTTCCCTTGGATAGTAACATGATAATATATATAGCCTATAGCCTTCTTCGATAAACGGGGTATTTAATGCAAAAACAATTTTTCAAATCGGATAAGTAGTTCCTGAGATTAGCACGTTCAAACAAACAAACGAAAAAACAGACAAACTCTGCCTCTTTATAATATTACTATGGATTATCATTTCTATTCTAAACAAATAGAGTGCTAGAACTCGTATTATCTATACTAAATGTGAAGGTAATTCTGCCTTTTCACGCCTAAACCGCTGAACAGATTTTGATAAAATTTGGCAAGAATATAGATGGCCTTCTGGTTCGATATAGGCTACACTTAATCTTTCGCTTGTCACGCGAAAGAAACCGCAGGCAAAACTAATAAATGAAATCTATACATATAATAAAATTGTAACTAAGTCGAATCTGTACATTAAATATTTTTTGGAAAATCTAATAGAAATAGACATTATTATCGATACGATTCTATAGTTTTAAAATTTTTTGTCTGTCTGTCTGTCTGTCTGTTACCGCATCACGAGAAAACCACTGGACAGATTTTGATGAAACTTGGTATGATGATAGCTGTTTATCCGGGACAACATATAGGATACTTTTTACCGCGAGAAAATATTTATTTCAGAGAAAAAATACAAAAACTGCATTGTAAGAGCATACTAATATGTAAAACCTAAGAATTTGGTTTTTGGTCATCTGGACGCGGGCGGAGCCACGGGCAATGCTAGTTTAAATATATAATTAACACATTTTAACATGAATTAAAGTCTCTATAAAACATAACATTAACAGAAGTATTGCAATACTTTTATATGAAAATCTAAGTTACTTTTAAGTCCCAAAGCTAATTCTAAAATGAAAATATAATATTTCTACATTATATTACGTTACGTTGAATTAATCACAAATTTTTGACATATTTCTAATCTGTATTTTTAAAGCGGTTTAAGATTTTTTTTATTATTGAAATTAAACGAAGAAAACACGTAGGAATCTGCGTTTAAAAATTATAATTATTATTACAGCAAACATCTCAAGCTTCGCAACAATTGCAAGAACGGTAATTTTGAGATAATCTCGCCCTATGTTGAAACAAGGGTGACAACATATTTAAATAATAAAAATTAAGACAAAATGAAGAATATTTTTGGATAAAAATGTTTCTTAATAAACATATTTATTATTATTTACTTTGACGACTCGTTTGGCTCAGTTTGTAGTGAATTGCAGTGCCAGCGGTCGCGGGCTTGAGTCCCGCTGGGGGCAAACATTTATGTAATTAACACGAATGTTTGTCCAGTCATGGGTGTTTATATGTATAACTAGCGACTAACTACGTACTCAACACATAAATAAATGCCCCCAACGAAGCTCGAACCCGCGACCGCTGGCAAAGCAAGTAGGATCACTACAAACTGAGCCAAACCTGTCGTCAAATAAATATGTATATCTATTTTAATTGTTAAGACGTCACTGTCTAGCTGTCTTTATTTACATCTTTATTTTTACTCCACAAAGAAAAAAAGGCTCGGAACCATGAACTATTATAGTAACTAAATAAAATCTAAATTATATAACATATAATATATGAATATCCCAAAATAGGTTAGAGTTTATGTAACCTCCCAACAGATAACCCATTTACGTTCATTTTACGGGCGTTTGATCGTCGATAAATATATTTATTACTCTATCAACAAACGGTTATAGGAGTGATTTCATTTAATTAAAACAATTCGCAGTAATTCTGTATTACATGGGTCGTGAGTTCGATTCATGCGTGAGGTAAGAATCAAATGGAAATTGGTTGATATAGTATTAGTTAATATACTTTAGGAAGAACTTAATCGTCTATCTTTAAGCTGGAGATCGCGGGTTTGAATTTCAATAATGACATACATATACGTTGATGTTGATGCAGTATTTGTTGTAATCTAAGTACATTACTATATTTTATGAAATATATATATCTGTTATAGTATTTTAATGGAAGAAGTTAGTAGAGGGAAGAGATTTTTTTATCTGCACATATAAAGTCAATCTTTTTTACTGAGCTAAAGATAAATAAAAGATGGAGCCACTTAACAAAAGAATTGAATTGAATAAATAACAAAATAAAGAATCAAATATCGTTCTTTCATATTTATAATACTATTTAGCATAATATAATAAGTATAGTAATCGTAATGAATTAATAATTATAAATTTAAAATAAAAAAATTCTACGCAAATTGTCATTTAACGATTACACTGGCACGCGTGAAGCACTTAATCGTGTAATCATACGCCAAAATCCCTTACATCATTGTGGAAAAGAGCTGATACTCTTACACTGCTGGACCGATATTAACCAAACATAGCTAAGAACCACCGCAAAGAAACTGGCTTTCAAATAAAAAAACCGCGTCGAAATCGGTCCATCCACACTACGATGCAGCTTCGATGCCACAGACAGACACACACACAGACAGACATCAACGTCAAACTTATAACACCTTTTTGCGTCGGGGGTTAAAAACAATGTTAGAACATTTTAGGTCAAGAAGAGACCGACAAAAATGTTAGTATAATTGATATTATACAACGAGCGACCTCACTTCGCTCGAGTGAATCTCTGGGTGCCTAAGAATCTATATGCTACTCCACATCATAGTCTATCTGCATACCTAATGTCATCGAAATCCGTTCAGCCAACTCTACATAAAGAAGTAACATACGTACATCCATCCAAATTTAGCATTTATAACCGGAGTCAGGTGTGCATTATGTATTACCATTTTTTTATTAAATACATATAAAATATAAAACTATCTTTTCAAAAATACAATGTTTTTCTTGAAATCATTTTGTAATATTGTGGGTAGACACTGTCTGTAACCACTAGGTATGTAATAACCTTTGAGACATCTAAAACCTTAGTTATTCCCGTGACCATGATTGCTATAATGCATACGAAACGTGGAGAACCAAAAATTTAAATAAATCCGCGGAAAAATAAGAAAAGATAGTTTTATTAAAAACTAGCGACTCACCCTCGCTCCGCTCGGGTTCGTCCCTACTTACGTTTTAACTTTTAATATAGATTTCTCAGAGATGAGATATTTTCCCGCAGTAAAAGTATCCTAAATGTTGATCCGGATAACCAGCTATCACCATACCAAATTTCATCAAAATCCCTCCAGTGGTTTGTCCGTGATGCGGTAACAGACCGATAGACAGACAGACAAAAATTCTAAAAACTATAGATTTGGTCTCTGTATCGATAATAATGTCTATTTCAATAAGATTTTCCAAAAAATATTTTATGTACAGATTCGACTCAGAATTTTATTATATGTATAGATGTCAAATATTCGCGGAAATTATAAGAAAATATTATGACTAATAATATAAAGAGGTAAAGTTTGAGGTTGTAGGGGGTAATCTCTGGATCTACTGAACCGATTTAAATGAAATTTGGTAAGAAGATAGTTTGAGACCCTGGGAAGGACATAGGATACTTTTTATCCCGGAAATCATTCCTTAAAGGGGTTAAAGTGTCTATTGGGAAGCAAACGCTAGTATTATATACATGCATAGTTATAAAGTCCTATAATTTTATGGTCACTCTACAGGTGTCCCACTGAGCGGGTTTAAAATAGGCTGAATCGATATGATACTTCGAGCAGAAAATTACTATATTATTGTAGAATAGAATTGAATATATAATCAATATTTATTTATTCTATGTCTTTATTAATATATAAAGAAGAAAGATTTGTTTGGTTTTTTGTTTGTTTGCACATCAACTAAAACTACTGTACCAATTTCAATAAGTCTTCCACTAATAGATAGCTACTTTATCTGCGAATGTTATAGACTGTAAATTTTATTTGTATCATATGTTTTGGCTGAGCAGTAATAGCTTTTGTTTAGAAAGTCGGAAAAATACAACATAATCTACGTGCACTTCTTAGGCTCCTTTAACAAGTATTAAACCATAGTAATATTGTTAACGTGAAAGTCACCATTTTTATCTTTTGGCGCTTAAACTGCTAAACAGATTTCGATGAAATTTGGCAAGGATATAGATTGTATCCTAGGGTATGAGCGTAAAGTGAAAACGAACGAACTATGTAAAAGAAGCTGCGGGAAAAGATACTATAAAATAAGTCTACTATTAAGAAACTTTTGAATTTACTTAATCTTGGAAAGTTTCCACATAAATAAGTTATAAATGCAGAAAATTATGCATGTACAATAAGAGCTGATTTTTCTTTCATCATGAAATTATTCATTGGATATAATATAATAAGCAAATTAGGGTATACAGAGTTGTATGAATAAAATATTAGTATTATAATAGCGAAAATATGTGTTTATGTTTGTAAAGATTCCTTTCAAACGGCTGGACAAATTTGGATGAAAATTGCACAGACATATAAGCGTTTCATTCGTTCAATTATTTGTACGAGCGGTAGACCTCGCGAGCATAAGCTGCATTTTAAGGAGCTATTCTGCTCATCACGCGAAGATCTTCATCAGAACTTCACCAATTTTTTATGAGACATACCTAAAGTTACTTACCTTTCATATAAAAAAGGACAATTGAAATCGGATTTCATAAGGTGGAGATATCCCATAGCCTCGTTTAAACTCCTTTTTAGAGGAAGTACCCCTTCAATCAGAGTTTTAGACAGTTCGTTTGGCTCAGTTTGTAGTAGCCCTGCTTGCTGTGCCAGCGGTCGCGGGTTCGAGTCCCGCTACGGGCATTCATTTGT